TACGTGCACTGGTTCAAGTCCCAGCTACTCCATGTCGTCGTTGTCTTCTTCTTCTTCTTCCGCTTCTTTTCTTTTTTTCTTTTTAAAGATTATTTATTTATTTACTTGAGAGGTAGAGTTACAGACAGTGAGAGGGAGAGACAGAGAGAAAGGTCTTCTGTCCATTGGTTCACTTCCCAATGGCCGCAACACCTGGAGCTGTGCCGATCCAAAGCCAGGAGCCAGGTGTTTCTTCCTGGTCTCCCATGCTGGTGTAGGGGCTCAAGGACCTGGGCAATCTTCTACTGCCTTCCCAGGCCACAGCAGAGAGTTGGATTGGAAGAGGAGCAGCTGGGACTAGAACTGGCACCCAAATGGGATGCTGGCACCGCAGGCAGAGGATTAACCCACTACTCCAGGGCGCTGGCCCCTACTCTACTTCTGATCCAACTCCCTGCTAATGGCCTGTGAAAAGCAGTGGAAGATGGCCCAAGTGTTTGGGCCCCTGCCACCAACATGGGAGACCTGGATAAAGTTCCTGGCTCCTGGCTTTGGCCTGTGCCAGCACTGGCTATTGTGGCATCTGGGGAGTAAACCAGTGGATGGAAGATTGATCTCTTTTTTTCCCTTCTTTCTCTGTAACTCTGACTTTCAAAATAAATAAATAAATCTTTTTTCTTTTTTAAACCCACCCATATGCATAAATAATACAATTAAAAAATGGACCAAAGACCTCAGCAGACACCTTACGAAAGAAGATATATAGGATACAGTCAATAAATCCAACATCTTATGTCATTAGGGAAACTTAAAACAATGAAATACCTCCATATATCTATCAGTATGGCCAAAATTTAGAACATGGACAATACCAAATGCTGATGAGAATGGGAAGCAACATGGACTCTCCTTCACTGCTGGCACAAAATGGCACAGCCACTTTTTTTTTTTTTAAAAAAGATCGATTTTATTTTATTTGAAAGGCAGAGATACAAGAGAGGGAGGAAAATACAGAGAGAAAGAGAGATCTTCTATCTGTTGTTCACTCCCCAAATGGACACAATGGCCAGGGCTGGGCCAAGCCAAAGCCAGGACCCAGGGACCCCAGCTAGGTCTCCCCTGCGGGTGGCAGGGGCCCGGCATTTTTTGTTGCCTTCTCAAACATAATAACAGGGAGTTAGATGGGCAGCGGAGGAGCCACGGCTAGAACTGGCACTCATCTGGGTGCCAGCACGGCAGGTGGTGCCTTAACCTGAGGCACTACAATGAATTTTATAGCAGATTTATTCAAATTGGCAAAACACAGAAGCAACTAAGACATCCTTCAGTAAGTGAATGGATAACTGTGGTACATCTAGACAATGCAGTATTATTCAGTGTTAAAAAGAAAGGAAATAATCAAGCCATAGATAGACAAAGAACACATTTAAATGCCTATTACTAAGTGAAATAAGCCAATTTGAAAAGCTAACATACTGTATGATTCTAACTTTATGACATTCTGGAACAGGTAAAACTACAGAGACAGTAAAAAGATTAGTAGTTTCCATGGTTAAGGGAGAAAAAGGGATGATTAAGAAAAGCACAGAGGATTTTAGAGAGTGAACTATTTGCATGAACTATATGGTAGATACATGTCCTTATACATTTGTCAAATCCCACAGATGTAAACATCAAGAAGTGGCGGCGCCGCGCTCACTAGCTAATCCTCCGCCTAGCGGCGCCGGCACACCGGGTTCTAGTCCCGGTCGGGGCGCCGGATTCTGTCCCGGTTGCCCCTCTTCCAGGCCAGCTCTCTGCTGTGGCCAGGGAGTGCAGTGGAGGATGGCCCAGGTGCTTGGGCCCTGCACCCCATGGGAGACCAGGAAAAGCACCTGGCTCCTGGCTCCTGCCATCGGATCAGCGCGGTGTGCCGGCCGCAGCGTGCCGGCCGCGGCGGCCATTGGAGGGTGAACCAACGGCAAAGGAAGACCTTTCTCTCTGTCTCTCTCTCTCACTGTCCACTCTGCCTGTCAAAAAAAAAAAAAAAAAAAAAAAAAAAAAAAACCAAAAACATCAGGAGTAACACTATCATGCACTGTGGACTTTGGATTATAATAATGTATCAATGTAAATTCATTCATTGTAACACATAGCACTCAGGTGGCAGATGTCGGTGAATGGGAAGGCTCTGCACAAATAGGGATAGGGAGTATATAGTGCTCTATATCTTCTACTCAGTTTGGTTGTGAACCTAAAACTGCTCTAAAAAAATAAAGTCTATTAAAAAAATTCAGAGAACAAAAAAAGAGCTCTAGATAGCCTATACAAATCTCCAAACATGGGGGAAAAGTATACAAGCATTTCCTAAATGTATGTGAATAGATTTCTAAAATGTATATAAAATCTTTTATGAAGAGCATTTTGCAAAACTAGTGTTTCTACCACATGTGATTTGGGAAATGCCAATGGAATAATATAATTATATTTTAAAAGTAAAATAGCAGGGAGCCAGTGCTGTGGTGTAGCAGGTTAAAGCCCTGGCCTGCAGTGACAGCATCCCATATGGGCACCAGGTAGAGTCCCGGCTGCTCCACTTCCAATCCAGCTCCCTGCTAATGCATCTGGGAAAGCAGTAGAAGATGGCCCAAGTACTTGGGCCCCTGCACCTGCATGGGAGACCCAGAAGTAGCTCCTGGTTCCTAGTTTTGGATTGGCACAGCTAAAGCCATTGTGGCCATTTGGGGAGTGAACCGGTAGATGGAAGACCTCTCTCTCTCTCTCTCTCTCTGTGTGTAACTCTGTCTTTAAATAAATAAGTCCTCTTTTTAAAAAAAGTAAAATGGCAGAAATGAAAAACTGTAGTTTGGAAGACATAGTTGAAGAGAGCTTGAAGGACGTTGAAAACACAAAGAGAGGGCAGGCATTTGGTGCAGTGGTTAAGATGCCACTCGGGACACCCACATCCCATTTGGGAATGGCTGGGTTTGAGTCCTGGATCTGTTCCAGTTTTCTGCTGATGTATACCCTTGGAGGCAGCAGGTGGTGGCTCAAGTAGTTGGATCCCTGCCACTCATGTGGGAGATCCAGACTGAGCCCCCGGCTCCTGGCTTTGGCCTGGCTCATCCCCAAATGCTGTTGTGAACATTTGGGGAGGAAATCAGCTGATGGGAGGCCTCTCTGTCTCTCTTTCTATGCCTTTCAAATACAATAAACAAATGAATACAAATTTTTAAAAAGACAGAGACTAGGGATAGGAATAAAGGAGTATATGAAAATTAGAGGACTAGTTCAAAGAGGTTCAATAGCTGAATAACTGCTTTGCTAGAAAGTGTAGAGAAAAGGAAGTGGGAGAAAAACATCAATGAAAAAATTTAAGTGAAAGTTTCTGGTATGGTGGGTAAAAATACATCCAAGGTAAAATTTCAGAATATTGGAGATGAGAAGACTCAACTTCAAAGCAAATAAAACTATGGATGTATAATCTAAGAAAAGATTTACATGAGAAAACAGATGTGGAAAAGAGCAAACTGGGAACCCAATTTAACAGAAGAGAACTTAAGGGAACTCAGAGGGCTCCAGGGTAGGTTTCTTCTAGGTATGACATGGGTATAATATATAATGTGCTCATAAAGAAAAACAAATATATAACAAAGAAAAAAATAAGATTTCCCCTGAAAACAAAACGCCACAAAGAAAAAGTAATGATTGTACACTACATGGCTCAATTGAGAATGACATTTATTTCTTTATTTTTTAAGATTTTAATTTATTTATTTGAAAGTCATTATATAGAGAGAAGGAGATATATTTATATAAAGAAAGAAATTGTCCATCTGCCCCAGATGGTTCAAGGGCCAGCACTGGGCCAGGCTGAAGCCAGGAGCCAGAAGCTTTATCCAATCTCCCATGTGGGTGGCAGGAGCACAGTTGGGCCATCTTTCACAGCTTTCTCCAGGCCATTAGCAGGGTACAGCTGGGACATGAACTTGCACCCATATGGGATGCTGGTGTCACAGGCAGTGGCTATACCTGTTACCTCACAGTGCCACCCCCAAGATGGCATTTAGTTAGCTATAATAGCAAAACACTGGATTTTGAGCTATTCAATATAATATTACATAATTGGGGTAGGGTAGTCTGTGTGTATGTGGGTGAGAGGCAAGGAGATTGAGAAGAGTTGAACTGTCATATTCTAAAGTGGACAGTCAATAAAAAAATGTCTCAAGTTTAAAAAAAGCAATATGAAGAACCTTTAAAAAGTCTATTACATGGAAAAACTATGTGAAGATTTCAGATTTTTTTTTGCATAAAAATACTTATCTTTTAATTCCAGTTCTCCATGAACTTGTCAAAGCATTCTTATATAAATATGCTATTTAGATACATGGAGGTAAAGAAAACAATCAGCTGAATGGAAAGTGATAGCCTCTGGGAAGAGATAATTGACAGGAAATGGGGGGGTCTGTTTTGTTTTTGCAGTAGGTCTTGTATCTCCTTCAGTTTATTTAAACTACAAGCATGTATCACTCTAATAAATATCTAAATAACTTAAAAAATTATTTGATATGCAGAGACAGGCCAGTGGATGGAAGATCTCTTTCTCCTTGTCTCTTCTCCCCTTCTCTATCACTCTGCTTTTCAAATAAATAAGTAAATAAAAACAAAGAAAAACACCAGAGGCATTTCAGTGGTGGCTGCATTACTGGAATGCTGCCAGGGTTCTGGACTGTGGAAGGGGTCACTAAGAAAGGGGCACCCCTAACCACGAAGGATGAATTTTACTCTAACCTGGGTCAGGGAACTCCTGGCGTTGCCCACTCCAACTGCCCAACACTGAGTTCACAGAACACCCAAGTTTCACTGAGAGTTTTGACAGAATGAAAGTGCCTTGGAGACTATTTCCAATGCCAAAGAAAACATTTCTAAAACATTCTATCTAGGTTTAAAAATGGACAAGGGGCTAGTTATTGGGCAAAATAAGAGAAAATGCAGACACTGGGGCAGGGACTTGGTGCAGCTAGGCTCTTCTCTGCTCTTACCTGTGGGGGCCTGCATGGCTGAGCTGGGGATGGTGGCAGCATCTTGGGGTACAGTGCTGGTATCCGGTTCAGGTGTGCTGGTTGTTGGTGAGCTGGGTGGTGGGTTCAGCAAAGTCCGAGGTTTCCTCTGTCAAAACGGATGGGTAAAAGTTTGCTACCCATGATAAGTAACTTGTCTTCTCATTCCTTTATTCCTAGCAATTAATTTACCCATGAAACAAAATTATATTTACCCATGAAACAAAAGTAAAATTGTGCTTTACTTCTGTTTTCCACACAGCATCTGACCCAAAGCTGTATGCATAGTAGATGCCTAGAAACAATTTCTGAATCTATGCACAAAATTTTGGTCTTTTTTGGAGTCAGAGTTAAGTGCACTATCTTTTACACTTGATTCTATATTGTCACATGAAGTTCTATATTGTTTTTAGTTGGCAAAAAAAGTTAAAAGGGGGTAAAATGCCATGGCTTAAGTTTCTTTGACATTACTTTGTTTATTCTCTGCTTTACTTTGTCTCCTAACTTTACAAACTACTTTCCTCGGCCTTCCTCCTCTTGGAGCTTATTACCTGTCATTCTTTCCTTTAAATTTCCTACTCTAGTCATCTTTAACTGAATTACTTCTCTAAAAACCACATTTTTACTAGAAAGATATCACGTATGCCTGAAACACCCCTTCTTCTTTCATTTATCTTAAACATTGTTGTTTGTCTGGGAAGATTTCCTAGTTTTTCTCTAATCACTCTATTTTATGCTTCCTCTTTACTCACTGCACTGGTCAATGTGTCATCATTATATGTTTACATACTGGTGTCTCCTATTAGCCTGGAGGTCCTTGAGGGTCTGATTCCAAGCACCATTCCTAGCAAGCTATTTGGTATATAATGAGTATTAATGAAGTATTAATATAATGAGTATTAATGAAGAGCACAGTACAGATCACCAGTAATGGGGCAAGCAATATAGATCATTTGAAAGAAATCTAAGTATCTTCTCTGTGCTATCCAGGGCAATCACTGGGGGAGAAAGATCTCAGAGGGTTCTTTCCAAGAGATAGTTTTCTAAAAGCCTTTCTGAATGTAAGGAAACTAGAACCATCACTGAGCTCCAGAAATCCCTTTTTACTAAGGTCTCACTGTTGGGAGCTGGATACACCTATCTGCCTTCTGGGAGTATACTATCTAAACAGACTGCACCGAGGACAGGGGCAAACATTAGATGGTCTTGTCTGTGAAAGTAATCACGCAAGCACTCATAAAGCATTAAAAACACACAATGGACATGGATATCTGCTCATACTTTCTGACAGTGCCAAAAATGAAAAATCCAAGTAAGTAGTGAGTCAGGGAAGAAAGGAAATGCCAGTTCAACTTTAATGAGTTGGTGGTAGGAGTTTGTGAGGTTCCCAAGGAACTAAACCTGTGAGTTAGGTGCCAGAACTGTGGAAGAAAGCAGAAAGACAGCAGACACTACTATTTCAAATAGGTACACTGATACGTATAGTCTATTGATTCATATATTATTTCACTTCCATTTTATAGGTGAGAAAAGGAGGACTCAGAGACTCACTCAAAGAAGTGTTCCCAAAGTCACACAGGTGGTGACAAGTGGAGATGAGACCTAAGTGTGTCTGGCTTTAAAGCCTGTGCTCTAGCCACAAAGAGGAACCAAAGGCCTGCGGGTAAACTGGAAGGCCTACGTGTAACTGAAGGAGTAAGAGAAAGAAAAAGCCTGAGACAAATGCTAAGGACATCAAGTACAGGATAGGATGAGAATGACTGCTTTCAAGAAGGTTGGAAAGAGAACTTTGGTGACTATGTTCAAGACCTCCTGAGGAAGCAGAGCAGAGGTAATCATTATATCACAGGTCTTGGGTTTTCTAAGATCTTCAAAGCCATTTAATCCATCCATCCATCCACCCACCCATCCACCCATCCATCCATCCATCCTTCCATCCAACATTTGTACTTCCCTTTCCCTGAAAACATGCCTCCTATAGAGTCATCTAGTCCCTGATAAAGTACCTACCTCTAGTGACAGCCATTACTACTTTCATTCTGGGATAGATTTAACTGTTTCTTTTAGGTTGACAAAAAGCCTATATGCCTGGCCTTTTGCCCATGAGATCTGATTCTGTCTTAGGGGTCTCTCAAGCTAAGTTTTCCCTCTCTTCTGACTATCCTTAAAATGTTTCCACATCATCAAAAGCATGGCTTCTCAGACCTTGGCATCCTTAAGGCCTTCAACATTTCCTTCACAACATGATATTGAGAACAAAGTAAAGGAGACAAAAATGAATCAGGATCTGGGTTAGGAGTTAGTGATCACAGATCTGGAGAAGTATGTGTTACACAGGAAGATTAGGAGGTGATATTGGGAATTCAAAGCCAATAAATGAGATAATTGAGACTGATATCATCACCAAACTTATCCATTCACCCATCTATCATCCCTCCCTCCCATTCATCTTGCATATACTGAACATCTCTCAAGAGACTGAAATACAAGGCAGTGAAGGACAAAAAGAGAAGATACGTTCTTGATATTAAAGAACTTAATATATTCTATTCTATAAGGACTGAAGTCAGTTAGAGCTAATAAGCAAACAAATCAACCAACCAATCAACCCCACGGATATTCCACTTATAAGACTGGAATGGAGTGCCAAGGGAGAACTGGATATCATTTGCACACTGGCACTCAGGTGTTAGAACTCAAGAAGGCGATTTTGGGAGATTCCTTGATGGTTAGAAAGTAACGGAGGAGGTGATACTAATAGGAGTCTGAGGGAAGCTACTGAGAAGCCTTCTTTTCACATCAAAGCTTTCCCTTAGGAAGATACCCATGAAAAACTGGCTGTTACTAAGAGGTAGTACTTTCCACAACAGTACTCAGTGAACCCTCAACAGTCTTTTCCTGAAGATAAGTATTGTGTCCTTCAGGAAACGCAGAGAACGAGTATATGGTAGGACACCAGAGACCTTGGAAAAGAGCATCTGAGGACCACTCACTGCAGCATTTGGCACTTACTAGCTATGTGACCTCAGGGAGATAATTCCATATCTCTAGGTCTCAATCTATTTAACTGTTAAAATAATGTTAGCAGTGCTTATCTCGAGTTTTGTGAAGAACATGTGATATGCATACAATGGTATCTAATGCACAGTCTGACACTTAGTAGGTATTCAATAATTTCTTTTTAAAAAAGAGATAGGAATAGCAGAAGAAATACATTATAGTTAGTTTGCTCTTTCTGTTCATGTGCTGGGCACCTACTCTGAGATGATCAAGAAGGAGCAGGGCCTTCCATCTATGGAAGACATCAGAACAGAATTCTTTTGATGTGGGCAGCTTTCAAAGTTAAAATTTGTTTCCTATTCTCATCATGATAGATCTAACATTACCAACTCCTACGTAAGTAGCTACATACGGATGGTCATCTTTGAGGTTACTGTTAAAAGCATACACAAGGTAGAGAATAGGGCTATACATGCCCCTTTCCAAGATGGATGGATATGGATAAATCACCCACTTCTAATCCCTTATCCCTTCCTGGGAGACCCACATTTTTACCTACCTTACTGCCAGGTTTGGGACCTCTCTTCTTTGGGAATTTCAAAGGTTCAGCTGACTTGGATGGGGTAGAGATGGGATGGGGAATTAGGGTCTTGGGTGTCCGGCCCCGCTTCTTTCCTGGTTTACGCCCCCTCTGCCCTGGTTGATGGTCCAAGACAGTTTTGGTGCTGCTGTGGATGCTGGACTTCTCAGTGTTCACATCAGACGCAGGGTAGGGATTCTTTGGAATCACAACTGAAAGAAAAAGACTCATTCTATCACCCCTACTTCCCCCTGAATTCGCAGCCCTGTCAGAGGTTAAAAAAAAAAAAAAAAAAAAAAAGACTTGCTACTCTGCTCAGGTAGTTTTGTCCCAAGAAGCTAGTTTCCTGGCATTTGACCTAAGTGTTCAGAAAATTTCAGATGAAAAGTCAATTTACATCGGCTAGAATCAGACATTTAAAATTATTTCTGTAAGATGCAAACAAAATGCTAAATTTTTTTCCCTAAGGTATCTTAGAGAAGTCCTGAGACCTGAAAGTTGAAGCATGCAACATAACCATAGGTTCAGAGTTGGAATGGCTCCTAGGAGCCTACAAATCCTCTCCTGCTAAGAATGATGTCTGAGGCTCAGGAAAGGATATGATACCTTCTCTGGGTTAAATAGTGAGTTGGAATAGGACTTCTATTTTGAAACAGGTCCCTGACAACCAAGCCAGGGATTTTCTACATCAATCTACTTAAAGTTTTAGCATGAGGGGCAGTGAAACACACACAAATACAAGTACTTCTCCTTACCTTAAAAAACTTTTGTTCCCTGTTACCTTTAAGGTAAAGAATAAATTCTTTATTCTGATAGCCAAGGACTTTGTGATCCTGCCCCTGCCTTGCTTTCCAGTTGTTTCTGTGTTATTTCCTACCACCTAACCTCACATTATAGCGACCAAATGTTGAGCTCTCTATTATTCTTGGCCAGACATATATCAAAACTCAATTTTGAACACTCAATCTGGGGCCACCTCCACTTAATGATGGCTTCTCTGACCATGCCCAGACTAATCTAATGCCTTCCCCTCACCTCAAAAGCATTCTGTAGATATCTATGTTAGATCTCTATGTCAGAGTACTTCTCAATTTTCTTCTAATAATTTATCTTCTCCTTAAATTTAGAATTTTTTAAGGTAAGAGACATTCAATTCACTCTATAAGTAGTTCTTGAGCATTTACTACACGTGTTGCACTATTGTAAATTCTGGGGATAGAACAGTGAACAAAACAGACATGATTTATAGTCTAATGGAACTTACCTCCTAGTGGGAGTGGCAGAAAATAAACACATACACAATATAATGTTAGGTGATGTAAGCTACTCTGATCAAAACCAGTGCAGGGTAAGGAGACAGAATTGTAAGAGAAGTCCTCTTTGAAGAGGTGACATTTATACAGAGCTTCCAAATGAAGTAAAGGCAGAAGTCTTAGGAAAATCTAAGGGAAGAGTCTTCCATGCAGAGGTTAAGTAAGTACAGACTCTGAGACAGGAATGTTAGTGTGTTTGAAGAACAGGAAGATCAGTATAGTTGGAACTGAGTAAGCAAAGGGCAGGGAGGAAGACAATTAGGTTAGAGAGGGAGTGGTAATGAGTGTGTTGGACTTTATATATAGGCTGTGAGAATGAATTGAACTTATTCTGAGAATAAAGGAAGTCTCTGGAGGTTTGTGAGAAGGAGAATGACAAGATGTACTCAAAAGGATCCCTCTGAGTGCTCTGTGAGGAAGGCAAGAACAGACCAGTTAATAATTAAGGAGACCAGTTAATAAATGAAGTCAGTGGGCAGGCAGAACATGAAGATTTTTATGCTTCCAGGTAGGATGTTATAGACTGTGGTGGTGCAATGTTGACGATGCAACAACTAGAAAAAGCCAGATAACTTATTTTAAACAACAGTACAGAGCTCTTATAATGACTAGATGTTTTCCTCCCTGAGTGCATTTGCCAATGAACTCAGGAACAGACTTGGCCCATAAAGAGGTGTTCTCCTGGGGAAAGCGACATCAGAGGCTGCTGTGATATACAGGAACCTTGATGAGGGCCATGCCCATAAGGGACATTTGCTGAATTTTGGGCCTGCCCATTAGAGCTACAAGGCTGGGCTTAGAGCTCTAATATGCAGAATAAAATCTCCCACAGTCCGGTGTTTTTTAGGAGACAAGGGCATACTAGGATATGGTTTATCTCAAACACATGATCCTCTCTTCCAGATATATGCCATATTTTGAAACTATAAAGGGTGAGAGGTGAATGAACTAAACCCAAAATCTTTAAAGGGCAGGAAAATTTCCTGCAATGTCTCGGGTGAGGAGACAGAGTTCTGTTATGTTCTCAGTCAAGACCCCAAGAGGGCCCAAGTCTAAGAAACAGGGGTAAACTATGGGAAGAATCCAGACCAGGTCTAGCTCAATCCATGATTAGATGGAGGTGATCAGGCTCTTATCCTATTAGACCACCAGAAAGATAAAAGACATCAGCTAAAGCTTCAACAGCTGCTTTATACAAAATGTTCAGCATACCATATAAAATGAGACAAAACAATGTGATCAGTAATCAAGAGAAAAATACAGGCAATAGTTGGAGACCCATATATTAACCAAATAATGGAATAAACATACAGATTTTAAAATAAATATAATTAATTTGTGAAAGAAAATACAAGAAGTGATCAACAAAATGAAAGAAAATACCATCAGAAAATTCAGATCTATGTAAGAAATTACATGGACATCTAAGAACTAAAAATTACAATATCAGAAATAAGGACCCATTGGATGAGATAAGGGCAGACAAGACCCAGCAGAAGAAATTATTAAGGCACTTGCAAAAAAGTCAATAGAAAACATCCAGTGTGAAGCATAGTAAGAAATTATGGAAAAACAGATTAGATATTAGAGACATGTGGCCATAGTCAATAGATCCAAAATACAATAGCTGCAATCTCAGAGGGAGAAGTCAGAGAAAATGAGGAAAAAGGCATTAATAAAACTCTCTCAAATTTAATAAACATCAACTATATAGTCAAGGAACTCAGCAATCAACAAGCAGTAAAAAATACAAAGAAAATGATACTATGGCATCATTGTCACACTACTGAAAATAAAAAAAAATAGAAAAAATATAAATGAAATGAAAGAGATGAAAGACAAAGCTAATTTTTTAAAAGCAGTCAGAGAAAAAATAGTGCTATCCTTACGTGAGTATCAATAAGACTGATGGTTGACTTCTACATAAAACTATATAAGCCAGAAATAACAGAATAACATCCTAAAAAGCTAAAAGAAAAAAAACTGCCAATTGAGTTCTACGCCAGTGGGAAAAAAAGATCCTTCAGAAATGAAGGTGAAATGACATTTTTAGGCAAATCAAAGCTTGAGAGAATTTGTCACCAGCAGACCTGTTTCCAGCAGGAAATAAAGAGGAAATTCCTCAGTCCAAAGTAAGCAATCCCAGATGGAAGCACGGAACTGCAAGAAGGAAAGAAGAGCACAAGAAAGGATAAATATGTGAGTAGGTACAAAATAACATTGCTTAAAACATTAGTAAAATGTTAAGAACGACTTGCAGGGCCTGCACATCATTAAATATGCAGAGGATGGAAGCAGGGCGTAAGTGGAGCCAAACTTTGGCAAGAATTTGGCATTATTTGGGGAAAAGTTAGAATACTTATTTAAGGTAGGTTTAGGATGTTATTTTCATAGAGCAGTTAATTACCAAATTATATAGGAATGTATTACTAGAAAGCTAAGATGAGAGAACTAGAATGATAACCTATTCATTCTAGTGGGTTAAGTGGCCTACTGGTTAAGACGCCTGCATTTCATGTCAGAATGCCTGGGTTTGGTGCCCAGTTCTGGCTCTGCACTCCAGGTTATACAAATGCAGATCCTGGGAGGCAGCAGTTATGGATGAAGTGGTTAGGTTTCTGAGAGCCATGTGGGAGAACTGGATTGAGCTCCCAGCTCCCAGTGTTAGTTTGGCTCAGTCTCAGTTGTGGCAGGCATTTGAGAAGAGAACCAGCAGATGGCAGCTTGCTCTGCTTTGTCTCTAAAATAAATAAAAAAGTAAAAGCAAATGGAAAGCATATTTGATTAATACAAAAAAAGACAAGAAAAGAGAAAAAAGGAAGAGCTCAAACAGAAAACAAAGCAAAATGCAAAAGAGCAGCCTTAAATCCAAATAATTAATTTTCAAATTTTTGATTTATTTTTTAAAAAATACTTATTTTTTAAAGACTTATTTATTTATTCAAAAGGCAGAATTAGAGAGAGAGAGGGAGAAAAAAGAACTGAGAGTGGGAGAGACATCTTCAGTCTGCTGGTTTACTTCTCAAATGGCCACAACAGCCGAGCTTGGGCCAGGCTGAGGCCAGAAGCCTAGAATTCCAACTGGCTCTCCCACATGGGTGGCAGGGACCCAAGTTTGGGTCATCTTCTGTTGCTTTCCCAGGTGCACTAGCAGGGAGCTGGATCAGAAGTGGAGCAGCTGGGATTTGAACACATCGGATGCTGGCAGTGGCTTAACCTGCTGCACCACAGTGCTGGCTCTGATAATTATATTAAATATGAATAGATTAAACAATTAGTATGAACAAATGAACAAACTATACTAAAAAATTCCAAATCATATTTGTTTAGAAGATATCACCAAAAGGACACTTGAAATAGAGATACAGAAGATAAAAATGAACAGATAGAAAAATAAGCTCTTTAAATAGTAATGAAAAGAAAACTCATGTGGCTATATTAACATCGAAGAAGCCTTTAACGTAGGCAGTATTTACCTAGACTATCCGGGACATTTCATCAGGGTAAAATTAGCAATTCTAAAGGAAGATATAATGAGTTTAAATTTTATGTACTTAATAACACAGAAGTTTGCAAAAGTTTAAAGAAACAAAAGGAGAAACAGACATATCTACCATTATGAGTTGGTAATTTTAACATATGGCTCTCAAGAATTTATGTATCAAGAAGATGAAAACAGTCAAGAGGTATAAGATCTAAATAACACAATTAACAAACTACTAACATAAATAACCAATTAATGACCTAACCTAAAGAACACATAAAGATTATACTCAATAAATGTAAAATACACATTCCTTACAAATGCTTATGTAATATGCTGAGTGAGAAAGCAGTTTTTTTTTATTTGACAGGCAGAGTTATAGATAGTGAGAGAGAGACAGAGAGAAAGGTCTTCC